TTTTTTTTTTTGCCAAAGATTCTAAAACGGTTGTTTTCCAGCTTGTTGAGGCAATGTGTGGATTCTCTCGCGTAATCAAAACACTGGATGATAGGACGCTCTACTTTAACGTTTTGCCAGGTTTCCACTTTGATAGCCCAAAAAATCCCTCTCCATCACGTTTTTGAGTGCATTTCTGAAATTTCAGGCGAGGTTATTAAGCATGCAGATATGAAAGTTATCTATGGCGAGGGAATGCCACATCGAAGGAATCCTCAAGAAAAGGTGCCCTGTTTATTATTTTTTAATTGCGACTGCTAGCATTTTTGAGATACCATGAAGATTTGCCGATTGTTTCCGCTAGGAAAGATTGTGTTCTTCTTTTTAGGGTGATCTCATCCTACAGTTCCGCGTTATATTTCCTGAGAGGTTGACCGCAGACGCACGGAAGAAACTTTCTGAGCTTCTGCCTGGTAAAAGTGAGTTCAAAGTAAACTCGTAGAATTCTCTATTTTTAATGCTTGATCAGGGCGCAGGTGGTGTAGTGGCAAGTGGCGCACTATCTCACACGCTTGGTCAGGGGTTCGTATCCCGCACCGATATCCGCCTAGGCCAACCAAGTCTTCCATTCCTCCGGGGTCGATTAATTGGTACCAGATTCATCTGGGAGGATAAAAGCCCTGGCTTGTACATCGGGTGGCCACCGCAAGTCATTGTATGAGCCACATACGCACTCATTACGCCCTACCAATCTGAATGGAAGTCGAGTGCGGGGGCGCCTTCCTCAGACGGGATTGTTTAACGTAAAAGAAACTTTATCCTTTTATCCTTTTATGCTTAATTACTTCAGGTGAATGTCTGGTTGGTGACGACGATGAGGTGTTTGAGCTAAATGAGATAGCTATAAATCGTTACCGTCAAGAGGATAGTCATCATGGCGAGGAGGGCGGTGTTCGCTGCCAACACCAATAAACTTATGTGATTTCTCTGTTCGAATGATATCCGTCCCTGTGGTCGATGTACGTCATAGTTTTATTTCATTAATATATTAGATTCACTTGGTAGTGAACTCTAATGGTTAAGTGAATATTGGCGTTGTACAGCTTACATTCGCATCTTGTTGTTATTTTGCTCTCATTGTCTGTAGGCGCTACATTTCTTTCTTATTTTGGTTTGAAAGTGACAGTGATTTGTCACATTATGAGTAAAATTGTTGTATCTCGTAACCTTTCCCATTCTTCCTTTTTTTACTAGAAAAAAGTTTACCGGATTTTTTGAAAACGTTTCATGTACCCGTGTTCGGAATGAACTTCCTTATGTTGTACTAGTTTTTTTAAACTCGACTTATGTTGTCCTGAAAATTCCGCTACAACCAAGCTCAATCACATGCTCTAGGGCATGGCTGCATCGGGCCGTACTTTTGGGAGTGTGGTTGCTTGCATGTCTCTGAATACAAAGCGAGTATTATTAATTATCGTTGATTCGGAGTCTTGCAGTAATAAAACATTGTTTACCTATCTAAATACACAACCACTCATTGGGATTTATTTCGTCGTGAATGGATCAAAAATCGGAAGAGGTTCAGAATTAGAGGTGGGCAGGACGTGAAACCAAGCAGAATCCAAAAATTACTGACAGGATGAACGTCTATTATGAATTTGAGCAAGAATAAACAACTGACTGCATGAAAACAAGAGGAGATCAGGGCAACTGGCACGGAAGGGGCACGTAGTAGAAGGATGGCGAGTTCAGAAGCATCGATAACCAGGGCCAGTGACAACAGCACCACAAACTCCACCCGCGAATCCTCACGGATGACGGTCGTACAGAGCGGAAACGACGCCAGAAGGAACTGATCCTGCAGAATGAGATAAGTCAAACACCCATTCTAATTATGTTGCAAACTAATTTTCCCACCTGATTGAAAAACAACGTGCAGGTCAGAGCTATGTGGGCCAGGAGACATAGAAAGTATCCTGAAATTGTATCAATCATTGCAATGAACTCATTTCCCTCGACATTTCCTTGTCTCCAAGCGCGTTGTTTGCTCCGTGTCCATAGAAACCCTCCGGAAAATACTGCGCTCCAATGCCACTTTAAAGTAAGATGTGCAGGTGTGAAACCTACAGTAATCTTTCTGTCTCATTTCTTTTCTATATTTTCCTAAACTTGATTCGAATAATTTTCCGTGTTTTCTAATGCTTTTTGTGCCATATTAGGTGAAACATTTCTATGACGAGTCGGTCTATAGTGGTACATAATTTTCAAGGACTTTCTATTCGAAATTCCTCAAAATTTCTCCATTCCTATATTATTTTATTACTGTTTCCTGAAGTAATGCACAGTTTAGTAGTGCTGCTTCGAACTGTATTTTGTATGTATGTATGTATGCGACCCTGTCGATCAGTTCTGCTCTTGATCACTTGAATTGGATTTGTTGTAATTTCAGGGTAAAGATGACGGTCAAGAGAAGGAATCATGGAAGAAACAAGAAGAATCGAGGACGTTGTACCTTTATTCGCTGCACAAACTGTGGGCGCTGTTGTCCGAAAGATAAAGCCATCAAGAAATTTGTTGTGAGAAATATCGTTGAGGCCGCTGCAGTACGTGATATCGGAGAGGCTTCAGCTTATATGCGTGAGTTCTTAATAAGTTTCAGTCTTTGATGAGCTCCATTTTCTTCTTCTGTCATCATTCTTCCCAAACTAAATAGGTGTTTTTATTCAAAAATGATTGCGTGATAGAATTCTGGAAGGAGTAGCCAATCTTTTCCGAGTTTTAGTGGGAACTAATCTTTTTGAAGCCTTCAATTTGTTTTTTTTTTCTGTCTGTTTTGTTTCTTTTTCTTTGGTCGTACTGCAGCTAATTCTTTCCTAAGAAATATCCATGCCAAAAGATTTCACGACTTCCAAGTGGACGCTGTCACCATTTGAGAGTTACACTGGTTTTTCTTGAACTTGATCTTAAATATTGAGAAGCTTTATGGAGCATTCTTAATGTATGCGAGCTTTTGATATTCGGTATGTGGAAGATAAATCTCAAGAAGTTCCTTCGGAAGACTGCACCGTTGGTGTATGGGAAGTAAATGAGTTCAGAATAGTGTTTTTCGAAGTTTTCTCTTCAGGAGGCTCTTTCCTGTTCCCTAGCATCCAATCGGTTTATTTCGCCCACACTGGTCTTACGAAAATGACTCTGAAAATGACTCACTTCCTCGCACCTTTTAATGCGGAAGGAAAGTATATTCCAGGGTTCGGCTAATCAATCATGCAGCGTAACGATAAGAGGAGGGTTCGTAAAATTAAAGGTCGAGGCGTGATAGAGCGTTTCTTACGTTTTTTGCTTGTTGTTCCTTTTGAATTTCATTTCATTGTGTTTTAGCATGTTGCATTGAGAGCCTACTGCTTGAATAGGCTGACGAGTACGGGTTCACTCCAACTTCCTTCGTAATACATGCTCATTTTTAGTGGTTTAAATAAGATATTGCACAGATTAATGCAAAAATGTTGTAATGCTTTTAGCTAAGCAGCTAATAAATGCTTGGGGAAGAGGCCATAGATCGAGAAGTTCGGAGGGACTGATCGTAGGATTAAACGTGCTGCCGCTGCGCAAAATTCAAGTGACTGTACTGGACTGGGCTTATTTCAGACCACTTGAAGTACATCAGAAACCCAGTATAAAGAATTAGGGGCGCAAATGCCGCGGAAATGGGGTCTGTTAAGGCTTTTTTTCTAATGGGAAATGAAACTAGTTGTGAAATGCTACCAGAGGCATGCTCTCCAAGTGCAGCTCACCTTCGGCACGATCGTTGTTCTTTTTAGTCGGTCACCACTGTCATTCAACTAAATTACGACTCTCTGTTTCATTGCCGTCAATACCCTAACCGCTGCAACCCTTTCTTTACCTTCACCGTTTTTAACAAATCCTCTTCCTTCAAAGTACTCTCAGGTCTTTGATGCTTAGCCATTTCCCTTATGTGTGCTTCAAATGATATTTTATGCAAATATTTACCTGTTGTTGCTTTGCTTTAAACGTTACCTCTACCTCACCCTAAATTTCCTATCAGACTTGGCCTACTTTTCTCTCATAGATGACGTAAAGGTACACTTTGCTTCATGAAACATGGAAGTACTTCCGATTCCGAACAACTAGAACTGTTCAAGTTAGCATTGACAGCCCTAATGATAAAAAGCTTCAACCTAGTTTGAGATATCTACAACTTGTGAGTCAACTCCATTGCTGCCTACTCAATATTTGTTCTTATGTAAGTTTCCTAGGTATTGCTTATGCATTCTAACCCCAAGTTAGATAGTTTGGCTTTGAGCGGAAATCGTTAATCATATGGGAACGGCTTAATAAGCAAGGGAATGGAGAGAAAGTGCTCCGAAAAATCCCGAAAAGAAAGCCCAAAGGTTTTGCGTTTGCAGATTGCTCTACTTCGAAGTGTCCCATTATTTTTCTGGGAACGGAAAATAAGTATCATCCTTAGCAGGATTAGGAAATCAGTATAATCCTTAGCATTTCGTCTGTTTTTTTTTTTTTTTTTTGATTTTCTTACTTGGTACTCCTCTTTGTTCAAAGTGGCTCATAGGTCTCCGTGAACAATGATAAATTAGTTTTAAATCAAATTATTAAATCATGGGCTACTTGACTAAACTAAGAGTTTTCTGAAAATGGCAGGCCTCCGGTTTGAAAGCACCTTCTCCGGTAGTGAGTTGCAATTGTGAAAATTTCTTCGGTTAGATAAGGCCCTTATTAGAGCATTCTAAAGTTCGTTCCTTGTGCTTTTTATGAATGGACATGATCTCCTCGAAACTCCATGTTTATTTTGTGAATGTTTCAGAATATGCTCTGCCAAAGCTCTACCATAAGCTGCACTACTGCGTCGCCTGCGCTATCCACAGTAAGGTGGTGCGTAACAGATCGCGAGATGCTCGTAAGGACCGCAATCCTCCCCCTCGTTTCGGTCAACGTTCAGCCCAGGCCCGACCAGGAGTTCCTGGAGTACCTCGTGCATGAATTCTTTTATTGTTATCTGTTTCAGTAAATCTGTTGATTTTTTTTTNTTTTTTTTTGTTTACTGTAAAGCCGCGAATTAACGTCTTGCTAGCAACAAAACTCCTAATACACTTATGCGGCTTTTTCCTGCTTGAAACAAGCTCTTAGCTACCCTAATGTGATTAAACTGTTGGATAGAAATCAGCTGATGTCATACTGTAAAATCCAGTTGTCTGTAATCATTTTGTGAGCTTTTTGTATTCTCGCGCGAAATCACATGTTCGTGATCACGATTTTCCTACAATTGGCTAGAAGAATTACATTAGCTTTGGACTGTGGTGGTACTTAATGGAATTATCTGTAAAATAAGGGCGGAGGTGGTGTAATGGAAGTGGCGCGCTATCTCACACGCACGGTTAGGGGTTCGAATCCCGCATCGATATTCACCTAAGCCAACCAAGCCTTCCATTCCTCCGGTTTCGATTAATTGGTACCAGATTCATCTGGGAGGATAAAAGCCCTGTCTTGTACCAGCTGGCCGGCTGACCGGGCTTCATATCGGAACTCACTGAACGGAATGGAATGACAGATCGACAAGCACCATCCATGGTACCTTGCAGTTCCACAAGCCCTCTCATTTGTGATGGACATGGAAGCCACCTGGACACTGGTGAATAGTTCGGTAATGTAACAGATCACAATGATAGTCAATAGAAATTTTTACGTGACTGAAGTCGCTGTTGTTCCGAAGTTCTTCGCAGGATCGGACTATCTCCTCTGCACTCGATTGTGTTTTTCAATGCGTGAAGAGAGGCTGCAAAGTCAGTGAACGAAACCCTCAAGACGACGTAGCTTCCTTTGCGAATGCATGGAAAGACTGTTAGCGACAACATCAGAAGGATATAACCGCCCCGTCGAGCATCTTAACGGTAGTGCTAGGAAAGTAGATAGTCAACAAGTTGCCAAGAGACGTCTCTTCTCAATGACATTCAAACCAACACGCCAGCGTAGAATTGCGCGAGCTACAGATCATCAACAAATGTCCGGAACTAGCGAAGTTATGCAGAAAAGCGATAAAGGAATATCTGAAAGAGAGAAGAGCAGCAGTCATGGACGAAGCCGCCGAAGCCGGTAAGAGCGTTCGCAAAGCCCGACGGAGCTTCGCCAATTACAAGACCAAGATGACTTCCC